CATCGCTCGTATGAACCTCCTACCCGGAAATGCAAAATCACGTACATATATGTGATTTTTGTGAACCCCTGCCACCCTGTAGCAGTATTTTTGCTATAGGGCGGCGGGAGATCAGTTGAGACTGCTGTTAATGCCAAAGCCAGACTTTCTCAACCTTTTTAGCATAGGGAAACCCTTGAAATAACTTTTTGGGCTCAATGAGCCTCTGCTAATAATTACTCTTGGGTTGATTTAGTAAAGACAAATAGACTGCACTGTGCACAGTTCTGCTGACTTCCATCTAATTGTGTGCAAGCAAAAATTATTATTTTTTTTTTAATGTTCTTTTCATTGCACATAATTGGGTATTGTTTGCAAAGTGGAAGCTTTACCTCTCTATTAAACTCTGGAGCAACTGCAGTTGCGGAGTGCAACTGCATTTTGCAAAGTGCACAGTCTATTTGCCTTTAGTAAATCAACCCCCTATATCTGCAGGACATTAGTATGGGAATAATACTCCTTACATTTGTGGCCACTGGAAAGAAAACCCCCTCCATTACAGATAGCTATAAGGCTCATTGTTGTCAGTAGTTACTCATCTGAGATGCAGAAGTTGCTCATTGCTCAAGGAGCCCTTAGCCCTTAATAATCTCTAGAGCACAGGTGTCAAACTGGTGGCCTTCCAGCTGTTGCCAGACTACAAGTCCCATGAGGCATTGCAAGATTGACAGATACAAGCATGACTCCCAAAGGCAGAGGCATGATGGGACTTGTAGTTTTGCAAGAGCTGGAGGTTTGACACCCCTGCTCTAGAGGAACCCTGAGGTTTCATGGAACCCTCACTGAGAAAGGCTGGCCTAATATGTACTGTATGTCTGTTGCTTTGTCAGGTGATCACTATTCAATAACAGAAAATTAACAGCTCTGCTCCCAGAATCTTTAGGCTAATATATAAAAGTATTCGTGTTTTACTTCTAAATCTGACATCAGTTTGTGAAGTATTTTCATGCGTGAGGTTTGCAACTCTTATGATTTGAATGTGGTCTTATGGAGCACTGTACACATTTATTGTTTTTATCCTTCTTCACATATGTTAATGTGAATACATCTCAAACAAACACCAAATTGATCTCAAACTGAGCTCGAATGGATCACAAACCGATCATAGGCATATGTCAACCATTCTGATTTTTTACTTGTTTCTGAGTCTGAAGCCCCTGTGCACACTGCCTGTGTAAACATGGGCATAATAATTAGAGATGAGCGAATCGAAGTATCCGAAGTGGAATTCGAGTCGAATATCGGAAAAATTTCGATTCGTGCCGAATCCGAAAAATAGCCTAATTCGGACGCGCGAATCGAAATTTTTCAGAAAATGGCGGCTGACATGTGCGGCGACGGAGCGGGATGTCTGGGAAGGCGCGCAGACAAGGCGCGCTGACCCATAATGCATTCCTCAACTACATGTGATCGCATCAGCCAATCAGCAGCCAGCCAGCCAGCACTGTGTAATGGTCGAGCTATAAATAGCGGCCATTTTGGAATTCTTCATTTGCCTGCAGTTATTGAACAGAGGCAGACCGCTCTGTACTAGGGACAGGGACAGAGTTAGGGCCACAGAAACGATAATTGGGGACAGAGAAAAGTTACTTAGGGACAGAGAACCATTACTCAGGGACACAGACTTGTTAATGAGGGCCACAGAATCGTTATTTAGGGACAAAGAAACGCTAGTTAGGGCCACAGAATTCATAATCAGGGACAGACAGAATTGTTACTCAGTGCCAGGGAATTGTTACTTAGGGCCACAGAAAACGTTATTAGGGCCACAGAATTGTTACTCAGGGACAGACAGAATTGTTACTGAGTGCCAGAGAATTGTTACTCAGGGACAGACAGAATTGTTACTGAGTGCCAGAGAATTGTTACTTAGGGCCACAGAAACTTTAATTAGGGCCAGAATTTTTACTCAGGGACAGACAGAATTGTTACTGAGTGCCAGAGAATTGTTACTCAGGGACAGACAGAATTGTTACTGAGTGCCAGAGAATTGTTACTTAGGGCCACAGAAACTTTACTTAGGGCCACAGAATTTTTACTCAGGAGACAGACAGAATTGTTACTGAGTGCCAGAGAATTGTTACTCAGGGACAGACAGAATTGTTACTGAGTGCCAGAGAATTGTTACTTAGGGCCACAGAAACTTTACTTAGGGCCACAGAATTGTTACTCGCACAGACACAGAAATTGTTACTCGCACAGACACAGAATTGTTACTGAAGGCCACAGAATTGTTACTTAGGGCCACAGAATTGTTACTCGCACAGACACAGAATTGTTACTCGCACACAGACACAGAACTGTTACTGAGGGCCACAGAACTGTTACTTAGGGCCACAGAATTGTTACTCGCACAGACACAGAAATGTTACTCAGGGCCACAGAACTGTTACTTAGGGACAAAGAAACGCTAGTTAGGGCCACAGAATTCATACTCAGGGACAGACAGAATTGTTACGGAGTGCCAGAGAATTGTTACTCAGGGCCAGAGAACTTTACTTAGGGCCACAGAATTTTTTACTCAGGGACAGACAGAATTGTTACTGAGTGCCAGAGAATTGTTACTCATCAGGGACAGACAGAATTGTTACGGAGTGCCAGAGAATTGTTACTCAGGGCCACAGAAACTTTACTTAGGGCCACAGAATTTTTACTCAGGGACAGACAGAATTGTTACTGAGTGCCAGAGAATTGTTACTCAGGGACAGACAGAATTGTTACGGAGTGGGCCAGAGAATTGTTACTTAGGGCCACAGAAACTTTACTTAGGGCCACAGAATTGTTACTCGCACAGACACAGAATTGTTACTCGCACAGACACAGAACTGTTACTGAGGGCCACAGAAACTTTACTTAGGGACAAAGAAACGCTTGTTTAGGGCACGGAATTCATACTCAGGGACAGACAGAATTGTTACGGAGTGCCAGAGAATTGTTACTCAGGGCCACAGAAACTTTTACTTAGGGCCACAGAATTTTTACTCAGGGACAGACAGAATTGTTACTGAGTGCCAGAGAATTGTTACTCAGGGACAGACAGAATTGTTACTGATGCCAGAGAATTGTTACTCAGGGACAGACAGAATTGTTACTGAGTGCCAGAGAATTGTTACTTAGGGCCACAGAAACTTTAATTAGGGCCACAGAATTTTTACTCAGGGACAGACAGAATTGTTACTGAGTGCCAGAGAATTGTTACTCAGGGACAGACAGAATTGTTACCGAGTGCCAGAGAATTGTTACTCAGGGACAGAGACAGAATTGTTACTGAGTGCCAGAGAATTGTTACTTAGGGCCACAGAAACTTTACTTAGGGCCACAGAATTTTTACTCAGGGACAGACAGAATTGTTACTGAGTGCCAGAGAATTGTTTACTCAGGGACAGACAGAATTGTTACGGAGTGCCAGAGAATTGTTACTCAGGGCCACAGAAACTTTACTTAGGGGCCACAGAATTTTTACTCAGGGACAGACAGAATTGTTACTGAGTGCCAGAGAATTGTTACTCAGGACAGACAGAATTGTTACTGAGTGCCAGATAATTGTTACTCAGGCCCCAGAAAACTTTACTTAGGGCCACAGAATTTTTACTCAGGGACAGACAGAATTGTTACTGAGTGCCAGAGAATTGTTACTCAGGGACAGACAGAATTGTTACTGAGTGCCAGAGAATTGTTACTTAGGGCCACAGAAACTTTACTTAGGGCCACAGAATTGTTACTCCGCACAGACACAGAATTGTTACTCGCACAGACACAGAATTGTTACTGAGGGCCACAGAACTGTTACTTGGGGGCCACAGAAACGTTAATCAGGGACACAGAATTGTTACTGAGGGCCACAGAACTGTTACTTAGGGCCACAGAATTGTTACTCGCACAGACACAGAATTGTTACTCAGGGACACAGAATTGTTACTCAGGGACACATAATCGTTTAATTAAAGAGTATGTCAGACAACATGCAGAGGAGTGGCAGAGGAGGCAATGTTTTAGGAGCGAGCAGACGTGGCAGCAGAGGAAGGGGTCGAGGCAGCACTATTCGCAGCCAGAGGCCAGTGCTCCCGGTGTCATCCAGCGGTCGTGTCTCCACCGACAACAACCCTGCCGTCATCGATTGGTTGGCTCGGTCGTCTTCCTCTTCCCAGTCCACCTCTGACACCTACAGCCAACGGTCGGTGGGTACGTCAGACACAAACCGTTAGTTGGCATGGCCCGGGACCAAGCCCACTGAAATCACGTGTCCTCTACCTGCCCCTGTCCTTTGGTGTTCCCTCACCAAGCGAAGTATCGCATGCTGTGGGCTCAGCCCCACTGTACAGTGAGGAAGAGCTAACAGAGGGCGGTCAGGAACGGGGGGAGACATCCGCCTTTTCAGCAGCTAGGCGAAGAAGTAGTGGCGAGGAGAGTGGCCCGGTAGCCGGTCTAGAGACAGGTCTGTCTCCTGACCCAGACGCAGCCGAGGGGGCTAGTAGTGAGGCGGAGACCCTACTTGATGATGAGGAGGTTGATCGCACTTGGCAGCCTCGTCGTCATCAGGCAATTTCTTCCGCATCATCAGGAGAAGAGGGTGGCAGCTTGGCAGTGAGCGAAACAGTCGGTGGGTTGCCCAGGAGACAGCAGCAGGGTCGCAGCAGTGTCAGTGGAAGCAGTGTCATGGAGCCAAACGGCCACGGAGTAGAGCACCAGCTCCACTGCAGCCTACCACCACGGCCAGTAGTGGTGTGCCGGTGTGCACGGAGGAAGCAGCAGTCAGCCAGTGAGGAGTATCGGGGGCAAAGTTTCCTACTCGGCGGTGTGGCAATTTTTCGTCAAGCCGCCCGAGGAAGTAAACGTAGCCGTATGTCGACTATGTGGCCAGAAAGTCAAGCGTGGCCGGGGGGCCCATGTTGGGACTATTTGGGCCATGTTGGGACAATGGGAGACCTCCCATTGCTGCTGTCTCCATCGCCCACTCTGCCATGTGCCACTTTCAGGTCTCCTCACACACTGCTGGTGTGTTGAAATTTTTTGACATAGGGTGCTGGCAGATACGGGCCTCCCAATAGCTGCTGCCAGGCCCCCTAATCTGCCATAAGGCCCCTATATACCCGCCTCCTCATGCTGCTGCCAAGTCACATGTCCAGAGTCCCTGGTCAAGGGTCCTGTACGGCCTCCCATTGCTGCTGTCTCCATCGCCACACTCTGCCATGTGCCACTTTCAGGTCTCTCTCACACACTGCTGGTGTGTTTGAATTTTTTGACATAGGGTGCTGGCAGATTACGGGCCTCCCATAGCTGCTGCCAGGCCCCTAATCTGCCATGGGCCCCTATATACCGCCTCCTCATGCTGCTGCCAGGTCCACAGTGTCTCATGCCATGTGCCACTTTCAGGTCTCTCACACTGCTGGTGTGTTGAATTTTTTGACATAGGGTGCTGGCAGATTATGGGCCTCCTATAGCTGCTGCCAGGCCCCTAATCTGCCATAGGCCCCTATATACCGCCTCCTCATGCTGCTGCCAGGTCCAAGTCTGTCATGGGTCCCTGTACGGCCTCCCATTGCTGCTGTCCATCATCGCCACACTCTGCCATGTGCCACTTTCAGGTCTCCTCACACACTGCTGGTGTGTTGAATTTTTTGACATAGGGTGCTGGCAGATTACGGGCCTCCCATAGAAGCTGCTGCCAGGCCCCTAATCCATAGGGTGCTGGCAGATTACGGGCCTCCTATAGCTGCTGCCAGGCCCCTAATCTGCCATAGGCCCCTATATACCGCCCATCCTCATGCTGCTGCCAAGTCCAGAGTCTGCTCATGGGTCCCGCTGTACGGCCTCCCATTGCTGCTGTCTCCATCGCCACACTGTCTGCCATGTGCCACTTTTCAGGTCTCCTCACACTGCTGCTGGTGTGTTGAATTTTTTGACATAGGGTGCTGGCAGATTACGGGCCTCACCTATAGCTGCTGCAGGCCCCTAAATCTGCCATGGGCCCCTATATACGCCTCCTCATGCTGCTGCCAAGTCCAGAGTCTGTCATGGGTCCCTGTACGGCCTCCCATTGCTGCTGTCTCCATCGCCACACTCTTGCCATGTGCCACTTTCATGTCTCCTCACAACACTGCTGGTGTGTTGAATTTTTTATGACATTAGGGTGCTGGCAGATTACGGGCCTCCCATAGCTGCTGCCAGGGCAAGCCCCTAATCTGCCATAGGCCCCTATATACCATAGCCTCCTCTGCTGTGGCGCTGCTGCTGAGGGGAATTCCTAGGCAGTGAAGTCCAGAGTCTAATTACATGGGTCCCTGTAACGGCCCTCAACCATTGCTGCTGTCTCCATCGCCACCTTACTGCCATGTGCCACTTTCTGGTCTCCTCACACCCTGCTGGTGTGTTGAATTTCTTTGACATAGGGTGCTGGCAGATATATGGGCCTCCTATAGCTGCTGCCAGGCCCCTAATCTGCCATAGGCCCTCTATATACCGCCTCCTCATGCTGCTGCCAAGTCCAAGAGTCTGTCGTGGGTTCCCTGTTCGGACCCTCCATTAGCTGCTGTCTCAATCTCCACACTCTGCAATTGTGCACTCATGTTCAGGTCTCCTCACACTGTTTGGTGCTGTAGAACTTTTCTTCGCACCATACCACCGGGTGCTGGCCAGCATTACGGGCGACGTTCCTATTGCTGCTGCCGCACCGGCCACCCCCCCTCCACATCTGCCCTAGGTCCCCCTATATACCACCCCCCCGCTCTCAATCCGAGCCGCTGCCAAGTCAGGAGTCTGTCATGGGTCCCTGTACGGGGGGGGGGGGGGTGGGGGCCTCCCATTTGCTGTCTGCTCTCCACATCCGCCACAACTCTCGAACTCGCTGTGACACTTGTCAGAGGTCTCCTCACACTGCTGCGTGGTTTGTTGAATTTTTATGATCATTAGGCGTGCGGGCAGATTACGGGCCGTCCTAATAGTGCTGCCAGGCCCTAATAATCTGCATGGGCCCTATTATACCGCCTCCTCATGCTTGCTGCCAAGTTCAGAGTCGTGCATGGGTCCTGTAGGCGACTCCATTGCTGCTGTCTCCATCGCCAAAACTCTGCCTTTGTGCCACTTTCGGGTCTCCTCACACCTGCGGGTGTGTTAAATTTTTTTGAAAATAGGGTCCCGGCCCAGTTTAAAGGGGCCCCTCCTATAGCTGCTGCCAGGCCCCTAATCTGCCAAAAGGCCCCTATAAACCCCCCCCCCTCATGTTCTGCAATTTCCAGAGTCTTCATGGGGCCCCTGTACGGCCCCCATTGCTGCTTCTC